CTGAGGATCCCCTGAGTTCTGACCGTCAACGTCAGAGGTTCAGGCCAATGTTGCATGTGCCCGCGATCGGCCGTCGCCTCCCAGCCGTGAACCCAGCTCACCTCCGGAGTCTCATGGCCGCGTCCCGGAGCGTTCACGACCACGTCCCCAGCCACGTCGCGCGGCTTCCCGACCAGACGTCGCCGCGCGCGTCCCGGATCTCGCCCGAGCGCCCGCGTGCTGCGTTCTGGGTAGGCCACGCGCCGTGTTCTGACGTCGCAGGCAACGTCCCGGACACGCGTAGTTGGACAGCTGGTCGCGCAGGCCGCGGCGTCTCGGGCCCGCGTCCCGGCCGGCCGCGGCGTCTCGGGCCCGCGTCCCGGCCGGCCGCGGCGTCATCCGTGGGTCTCGTCCCGGGACAATCGCCCGGCATCACGGTAGTGTCCCGGCGGCGTCTAAGATTCGCGCGCCGGGAAGTCGGCGCCGGAGTGCTTTCCGGGCCGCGCGGACCGCCGGGCCGCCGCTTCGCCGCGGACCCGGAGCCCCGTGGAACGCGCTTACAAATGGGACGTGCCTGACCCGCGTCCGGGCAGTGCGACGGAGCGAACATCTAACTGGACGGGACGCGTACTTATGACATCCTAGCTAGGGGGGAATTGCTCCGGCGCGGGGCCGTTGGCCGGGCGCCGGGCCGCGCGCGAGATCGCGCGCGCTTGGGGGGAGGTATCGGGCTCGCCGGAGCGCGTCATGACGACGCGGTTGCTGAGCTCGTCGCCCGCGCGCGCCGTCTAGGCGCGGGCCGCGACGTACTTGAGGCCGAGCGCGGTGCCGAGCGTCCAGGCGAGCGCCTCGGCGCTGCCCTTGTTGGCGCCGCCGCGCGCGAGGTCGAGGACGGCCGGGGCCGCGGAGAGGAGGAGGCAGGCCGCCGTCGCGGACGTGACCGTCGCGATGGTGCCGCCGAGCGAGGAGCCGTCGCCGCCCTCGAGGGGCACGATCGTCTTGTGCTTCCACTTCTTCACGGGGTCGAGGAGCATGCTCTGGACGGGGCCGCGGACCGCGTTGAGCATGTCGGCGATCTCCTTGGGGATCTTGACGCCGAGGACGGAGTCGGCCTTCGGGAGCGTGAGGAAGCCCTTGTGGTAGTCGCGGATGCTCTCGGCGGTCGAGAGGAAGAGGTTGATCGCGCAGAGCGCGACGTAGACGACGAAGACGATGCCGCTGATGTTGACGCTGAGGTCGACGAGCTTGTCGAGGGTCGCCTACGAGGGGCCGCGAAGGTGAGGGGTCGCGAGCACGAGTCGCGCGCGTTCGAGGACCGCGCCCCGAGTTGAAGAACAGAACACGCGATCGCTCGGAGCGCGCGGCCCGCGCGCGCGAGGCGCGGGGCCGGGCGAAGGCGTTGGCCTCGGGCCGTGATGGCGGGGGAGGGATGAGACGCGGGCGCGCACGGAGTCGCCCGTGAGCACGTCGCGGATGAGCGCGGGCATGCCGAGGTTCAGGTCGATCCACCAGACCGCGGCGTCCGCGAGGCTCTGGGGCACGGCGAGCACCCACCCGGAGACCTCGGTGAGGGCGTCGACGCCCTTGGTGAAGACCTCCATGGCGGGGTCGATCACGATGGCGAGCGGCGAGGGAGCCGGGGCGGCGGCGGCGGCGGCCGAGGCGGTACCGAAGAGGGCGAGAAGCTTGTACATGTTGTTATTATACCTGTGCGTGGACGCGTGTGTGTGTAGCGGGTGGTGGTGGCGGGGAGGAGGGGCGGGGAAGCGTGGGAGAAGGATTGGGACGGGTGGACGGCGGGGCGCGCGCGCAAACTCACACGATCTTTGGAACTGTGCTCTCCGAGTTCTGACCGTCAACGTCAGAGGTTCAGGCCAATGTTGCATTTTTGCCAGCGAGCGGCCGTCGCCTCCCAGCCGTGAACCCAGCTCACCTCCGGAGTCTCCTGGCCGCGTCCCGGAGCGTTCACGACCGCGTCCCCAGCCACGTCGGCGCAGCTTCCCGACCAGACGTCGCCGCGCGCGTCCCCGGATATCGCCCGAGCGGTC